CTCAAAAGGCTCGATGACGCCTTTAATCAAGGGGATGTGAATGACGTTTTATCTGTCCGCCTACCTGTTCCAAGCCTATGAAGGACTAGATCTCAACCCAGGGTGGAAGCGGACTAAGTCCCACAAGAAGAAGACTATACCGGGTAATATGGATAGTATTATTCCACAATTTGATAACCAAGATAGTGTCTATATACATTTAGAGAAATGTTTCACTATAACCATACGCTAGAATTTCAAATTGTATCTTCGTGGTCTTTAGAATTCTGTGCCGCAGCAAAGCAAATCCTGACAATCTCAACTAGACAACAATAGCCACCAGGCATTCACTATTATGTCAACCAAGTGTATGACGTTAAAAAGATCTAGTGTTAATTTCTATTCGATATATCATTTTCAAGGGGGGTTGGATGGCTGAATGGTTAGCGTGCGCGCGCTGTATCATAAAGTCTGTCATTGAGTCGACTGACGTGGTTTCGAATCCCCGGTTTCCTCCCACTGCTAAAGACCCCTACGCGAAAGCGAATTATTGAAATAAAATTAAAAACCATATGTTAGTCTCGAAATGACCTAGTTTGTGTCGAGTGGACGTTAAACCCCATTTCTCTCTCTATATATATATATCATTTTCAAATTATATTTCATGAATTTACTGAATCAATATGTAATTAATATATATAATATAATATAATATAAATCGCATATAACCGTTAGATATTATCCCTGCATTATGATATGATTATGAGGATAAGTAGCTAGGACCACGGGCGATTGTTACATGGAAAATCTCTTCCAAAAATAACATTAAGCCGAAGCTAAGTATTATGCCTACAGTCTATCGCGCTCATCAGTCCTTTCTTCATATCCCGGTCGGTACAGAAAGGTCGTACTTTAAACTCCATTACATTCCATTTCTATTACGTTCAATTACATATGGACACAGCTCACCAGACATTCACAAGGGCCAAAACTATTTTTAGCCCTTCTCCCTCTTTCTATTTTCCCCCCTTTAGCATGGCGATCTTTGTTTACTTTTTGGTGTAGAATTGAAGAAAAAGGTTTGAATATACATTTTCTACCAGGTTTTGGTGAATATTCATGATTTTGAGGTGGAAGGATACAAGAGGTTGATTAGGTTGAAATGTAGGGCGGATAATTGCATGTTTTGTTATCTCTACTTCCAGCTTGCGTATCTCAAGTTTGCCATGATGAGCCTCATACATGCTTTTGGCAAGAGGTTGCCACATGTTGCTCCATATGTGGTAGAAAACGTTCTTCCCAGCGAAAATTTGGGAAAAGTTGGAGCCAGTCTAAGAGACGAGAATTAACATTAAATTTAATGGGAAAACATTGGTGATCTGTGGCCATATAACCGATAATATGAAGTTCAGGAGCAAGTCACTCGTCAGAAACTGCTCTTCTTTCAGGATTCAGACTAGCAATTCTCCCTCGATTGACTTCAATGTTAAATCCTTGACATTTTGTTGCCTACAACAGCTTTTTGGACATTACGATGATCTTAATCCCTATAAACACAAAGTCTAACATGTCACAATCATCTGAATAAAAATATTGAAGGGGGTTGACCGTTTATATTTTTGGATAAATCTGGTCAAAGGAATCTATAGGCAGTGACGTCATTTTAGTTGGCGATTATCTTAATTCATGCCATGGCAGATTTGAGACCAAAAGGTTAACAGAAATTTCATGCAAAAGTGGTGAGATGGGAGAAAGCGAGATTTGTTGTACATCATGACATCAGGGGAAGCAATTAGTTACTAATCTTAGTCCATCAATAGGTCTCGGACTAGTGATCCTCTCTTCAATGTCTAGGTCGCCTTTTCTTCAAAACCATAGAATTGCTTTATCACCACCTCGTATTTCTGTAGTTAAATAGGTCTTTATAGAAATACAATGATATTAGAAAACAGGCAAGTTAAAATATTTTGGCGGAACGAAGTTGATGTCAGGGAAAATTAAAGAAAAATGAAGTAAGTGGAAAATTAGCGTTACATAAACCTACTGGTAGAGAAGCGAATTCAGACGAGATATATGAATATGAATATGAATATAATAAACTTTAGGCCAATACTTAGCGAGAAGAAAATATTTTCTAGCATTTTAATGACATTTAATGCATCTAATAGGTAGAAGGCACAAGTTTCTTACATTGGCCAGTTGGGGACGCCCTATATATCCAAAACTCAAAATATGTTTCGATCCGTTATAACATTGAATAAGTCATATTTCAACTTATGCTATGCAAATGTAGTTGCGTGTGAAACGAAGACATTCTTATATAATTTGAATTGTGTACCACTAAGGTGATCAATTAAAGATACATTATGGGAGATAAGATAAAGAGATGGAAGTTCTCGCTATAATAGTTAAAAACTAGATAGTGTAAAGGGAATTTGCTGAAAATTTCAGTCAAATTGATCCACTATGAGCCGAGAACGAAGCGGGTGAAATTTTCGCATAGTCTCGGTCATCATTACTAAAATCATTAATATAAACAGCATAGTCTCGAGTATCCATTGTTTTGATTTAATTATCAATGGCCGTTAAGCGGCATATAGGAATCTAATCCAGCCAACATCGAAGGCTAGCCTTGATTAATGTCTAATTGATAATTTAGATAACATTTCAGGTCTAAAGAAAGAGAGAGAGAGAGAAATGGGGTTTAACGTCCACTCGACACAAACTAGGTCATTTCGGGACTAACAAATGGTTTAATTTTATTTCAATAATTCGCTTGCGCGTAGGGGTCTTTAGCAGTGGGAGGAAACCGGAGGACCCGGAGAAAACCCACGAGGTTGGACAGGCGACCCTACTCCTTGCCACGCACAACCGGGGATTCGAAATCACGCCAGTCGACTCAATGACAGACTTTATGATACAGCGCGCACACGCTAACCATTCAGCCATCCAACCCCCCCGCCTAAAGAAAGACTTGTAATAAGCAGTTTTGCTCTTGCATTAATGCTAAATGAATACAGATTTATCAATTATCTAATACGCTCAAAATATACATAATGTTGTAGTTATTACAAAATATTAGATTGTGGTTACTTTTTATTTATATTTGTCACTCTCAATAACACTTGCATATTTTTATACGCCTACATTTTTATGTGTACGTATATTGTCGTCGCTCCTGTCCGTCCGTCCGCAATTTGTTTGCGGACACTACAGGTCACAATTTCTGTCCGTCCACAATTTGTTTGTGGACATTCAACAAGGTCACAATTTTTATTCGATTTTGATGAAACTTGAAATATAGGCTTATCTCCCAGGGATTTCAGTTTCTTTCGATATTAGCATGCATTGGATCGTAACTTCATGGATTATGGCCCCTGATTGTACTTGTGGACACTCTAGAGGTCACAATTTTTATCCGACTTTGATGAAATTTGAAATATGTTTATAACCAAACGATCTTGGATCATTTCGATATTCGCGCATATCGGACCGTAACTTCCTGGATTATGCGCCCTAATTGGACGAAAATCGCGTTTTTAGCGTGTGGTCCCTCTAGATGTCACAATTTTATCCAATTAAAAAAAAAACGTTTTATTATATCACCGTTACACCATTATGATGGTTGAGTTCGAATTTCGTGAAAATCGGACCGAAACTGCCGGACAAAATAGCCCCTCCCTGTACGCAAATAGTGTTTAAAGTATGTAATATCAAGGTTGTGGACCATCTAGAGGTCACAAATTTTATCCAATTTTGATGAAACCTAAAACATGTGTTTATATCCCAAAGATCTCGGTTCTTTTCGATATTCGCGCATAATGGACCGTAACTTTCTGGATTATGGCCCCTGATTGTTGGAAAAAGTCGCGATTTTAGCTTGTTGACCCTCTACAGATCACAATTTTTATCCGATTTTAAAAATCGTTTAAGTATATCATCGTTACACCCTAATGGTGATTGAGTTTGAATTATTTCGTAACTGTCCGTCAAAAGGGCCGCTCCTTGAGCGCAAATTGTGTAAAAGTACGTAATACCGATGTGGACCAGCTAGAGGTCATATTTTTTGTTCGATTTTGATGAAACTTAATATATATGTTTATATCTCAAAGATCTCAGTTCCTTTGGATATTTGCACATATCAGAAGATAGATTCCTGGATTATGGCCCCTGATTGTACGAAAAATCACATTTTTAGCTCGTGGATCCTCTAGGGGACACAATTTTATCAGATTTTAAGAGGTCCACCTAAGTGAAGGTTGGGTAAGAAAGGGCTGCCCCTTCTACGCAAATAGTGTATGTAATACGAAGTTTGTAGGCTCTCTAGACGTCAAAATCTTTGTCTGGTTTTGATGAATCTTAAAATATATCTTTATATCCCAAACATCTCAGTCCCTTTCGATATTCGTGCATTTGAGACTATTAAAATAACTTCTTGGATTATGGTCCCTGATTGTACGAAAAATCGCGGTTTTTTTGTGTGTTTTTTAGCTTGTTTTCTATCTATCTCTTGCATGTGGGCGCATCTTGCCTGGCAACCGCTGGTTGGATATTGTTTATTTATCGCATCTGAGACATGGTAAAGAGTGTGTGGGGTGTATGGTGTATGGGGGTACAAATTACAGATGGATCCAATCAATCAAAGTCAGACAATATTTACAATTTAATGTTAATGGTAGAAATTGTTTCATTAATCTTAAAACGGACAAAGCATGAACTAAACATTGACTAACTTATAGGCGGGTGAAGATACTGTGTTTATAGGCGGTGGAACAGAATGTTTTTGCCGGATTCTGTTTAAAGAGTACCTGTTGGACTTCCAACCCAAAATTGTCGACTGGAAGCGTTCTGGGTTGTGAGTAATTAACATAGATCGTCTGCATCTGGGAAATCGTTCACTTTAGAGCATAAGAAAGAATAAGAATAAGAATAAGTTTATTGCAGTAATATAGGTCAGAGACCAAACGTTACAAGTTTGAATCAACTAGAAAATGATATGTACAATTATATTTTAAAAGGTGCGATTCAATTTCAAAATATCTGTATAAATAAAGTATAATTCTGTAGTTGCAATTGAGTAGGCTATATTTACAAACAATCAACTGGCACGGACATAATTATTTACAGCAATTTATATATGATACTTGGTGACCCTTTCTATATAATGGGAGATGGATATTAATATACAAGGATCGCTAGAATTTGACAGATTTAGGAAGTTACAACGACTGATATTTGCCAAATGTACACGTTCAAAACAAACATCTCTAATGTTCTTCGTTTCTATGCATTCAAACATAAAATGAAATAAATCTTCATCACATTGATGGCATAATGGACATAATGGAAAAGTAGTTTGATTCCGTCTATGCAAATTCAAACATGTTGGTAATAGATTTAGCCTAATTTTTGTAATATTTCTCCTGTGTTTTAATTGAATGTTCGATAATAAATAAGATTCCTGAACTAGATTTATTTTGAATTTGCAATAATCTGTTAAACTTTCGCTTTCTGATAATTTAGCTGACCATTCTTGTAAGTTTATATCTGATAATCGTAACTTAATTTGACTTATAAACATGTTAAAATTGCCGATCATTTCAGTTTCAAAAACATAACCAAATCCTAAGGAATATAACATAATTCTGACCTTTGTCACCCAACTAACCCTGCCGGCTTTGTCTAATTGTTTTAACATAATAAATACTTGTTTAGGATAACGATCTATGGGCATACGCAATAGTTTGCACCAATATTTAATACAACACAAAGTATAATATATGCTTAAACTGTGTCTTCCACATTCCCCAGAGCATATAAATATATGATAAGTAAATAGGAAAGTGGTACGAAAAAATCGGGAAAACTTATGTTCCTGGCAAGATTTCAACAAAATGTACCCTAAACCCAAATGTTTGTACGGTTTTAAGCCAAAATCCACTGAACATTCGAGCAACCCAGTAGTTCACATGCTTACAAAGTTTGGACGGCTAAGCAAATTTACTGTACAATATTGCATGGATCCACTGGGGGCAAAAGTCTTCCGAAAGACATCCACACTTTCTGACAATCTCCTATCGTTATGGGGTTTGGAAGGGACCGTCGTCCCCCAGAGCCACACCACTAAAGGCTATACACAAATAGAACCCTTTTTCATATAAATTTGTAAGAAATGAGTTTTGTGATTTATTTGGACGTTTAAAGGTAGATGCACGTTAATATGACAATGTTGATGCTTAAATTTTATTCCGCCGGTTCTACTCTACTAGGTCTAGTAGGATGACCTCCTTGTAAAATCTCCAATAGAAAATTGCCCCCAATAAACAGGATAACGGCGAGTATGGCGATTAAAATTGATATGAGAACAGCAATAACTGATGCTGACATAAATATCCATGGCTTAGGGTTAACACCATAATTATAATCCATAACGCAGATGGCAACATTTGATGATATATCTTCGTCAACCTTTAGATCCACATCATTGTCCTGGTTATCTGTAAACTCTTCGTCTACTATTCCATCACAATCATTATCCACGCCGTCGTTGATTCCCATTTTCAGGGTTGAATCACGCACACAAGAATCGTACAGACTTGTTAATCGTGTGGCACCATTATAAAGAAATCGCCTGTAACCCTGTTTCATCATCCTAGGTGCATATGACCACATGTGTTTTACTTCAGGAAGAAACGCAAGTCTGTCCTCCTTCTTAACGACCACAAAGAACCAGGGAGATGATATATCTAATACCGGATCTAGAAACATGCTTTGGAACAAAGTTAAATTACCAACACTAACAAAACAAGTTGATCCATATGGCGAGGAATAGGAACTGCACAGAAATTTGGGATATTGCTCTATAGGAACGCCGTTGGTCAAGATTGGTTTCTCGGTAACATCAAGTGAATCCCCATACCGTATATGGAAGACAACGTGTATCGATGACGTACTGTGTATAGTAAGATATTCGTCTGCTTCCACCGGGTAAGATAGCATTCCTGTGATAGTAGGATATAGAATGGTGCTGTTTTCTGTACTGATCTCTAATCCACGGATAATTTCACCTTTACCTGCAATGAAGGGGTATAAAGGTAATATATAAATTCAGATTTTTAAACGTGTCCTAAAATGCACGAATCTCAAAGCCCTTCTCCCGTAAAACATTTAAATTGGTTGGTTATTTTAAGATATGCGATAAGACTTAGTTGGGGGTAATAGATAATCATTTTGATATGAATATGATGGAATGAATATTTTTTTTAAAAAAGTTAAAACATGCCTGTTATTTTCAGTGTAACATTACTCATCCAGTCTTCAATGGGTAGTACAAAATTTCTTCCCCATGCAGAGTTGGGGAAACTTTGTTCTATTAATATCTGTTTATCCCAATGATCTCTATAGCTGCCAGTAACAACGACTATCTTAGCTGTAGAATCCACTTCACTCCCGGACAAATCACAAGCACAAGACAACATCAAAACATCGTTTCTGTTCAGGGTTACATGAATTATCTCCCCTGCATGATAATGCAGTTCATTATACTCCACAAAACCAGACAAATATGGCGCCATCGTAACTTCGAGTTTCGTATTAGCAATAGGTGCAGTTATGACAACAAATGTTCTATCCATTTCAGGTGGATACACTGTAATTATTTTATATGTGTTTTGTAGAGTGTTCAGAGGATACACCATGAAGTTATCGTGTTTATACTGTACATAAAACATAATGTCCTCCTTCGCTACAGCAATAATGGCGGCTGAAATAAGCAAACAGGTATAAAAACGTTTAAAGGCAAGATCAACGCCCAACCTTTCTTGAACCCTAATAATCATCAAAATAATAAATAAATGTAATCATGCATCATATTCAAAATATGCCTCGACTATGCTGCCCAAAGCAATTTTCACATTTGTTTAAGTATCTTGCTTGACTCCTTGAAACCGACTAGTGGATATTTTAGGGATCTTAAACGAATATATCTCAGCCATGCTAAGCATGTCTCAATGTTCTCAAACAATCTAAATCGAATATTATACAAAGTAACTATAGTCAAACCCTGTTCTGAAATAACCATATAATTACTTTACCTGATCTTGTAACTCTACCCATACTGAGTTGTTTACAAGGAAGGGGTGTTTGTGGAAACTCCTCACCCATGGACTGTATAAATTTTTTGTAGGTACCATACAATGTAACAACAGTACGAAATCTGGCACCATATTTCCATCTCACAACCCCATTTACTTGATTAAATTTATCACAAAATGGTGCGGGAAAAACAAAGTGTGTACCATGGGTATGATCTAGTGCTGTTGATAACAACAAAAAAAGAGAACAAAATTAACATACTGTAGTAATGTAAAATGTTTATTCAGAAAATCCAACGCAAAGTTTCGAGATGTTACATTTTCATTTTGAAATTTGGATAGAAATATGTGATTGAAATATGTAAATTAAATAACTAAAGTCGATAGTAGCGTTGCTAGGATTTTATTTGATTATAATGTCAAGTAGATCCATCACTCAAAAATACGTTTCGTTCCATGCATTCTTCCCTATATCTATGTAGCATTGTTCCATATGAAGTGTCTTTAAACAAAAAATGGAACATTATAAGGCCCATTTAAATGCTAGCAACATTATTATCAAATTCTTTTTTTTTATATAGAAGTAGAAAATGTCGGAAAGATCCACGTAATTGACACAGGTCAGGATATGAACTACTGATATATAAATGTGAACGTTTACCTGCCATGATATACACAGCGAACCAACAACCTACAAATATCACCCATTTTCCATCTACAAAAATAAATACATTATTTTATAATTGGTGTGTATTGGAATGTGCTAACACTAGTTTATAAATAAACATAAAGTGAGAGAAAAATGGGGTTTAACGTCCACTCGACTCAAACTAGGTCATTTCGGGACTAACATATGGTACAATTTATTTCAGTCATTCTGATAGGGGGCTTTAGCAGGGACTGGAGGACCCGGAGAAAACCCACGAGGTTTGGCGGATGCCCCTACTCCTTGTTACGTACAAGTGTGGCATCGAAACCATGGCATTTGACCCAATGACAGACCTTAGGATCTAAAGCGCGTGAGTTAGAACTGTAGACGAAACCCCCGACCCGCCCCTCAGGTATGCCTTACAACACAACCGCATTATATAACGAAACATGTTATCCATGAAAAACACATACGCGCTAGTAATTATGATTTTTTATCTGATGTATCATATCATAATTTTCTTTTTATATATAAGACCAATTGGAATCTCGCCAGTCCATGACGCACTTAAGTAAATTGGGATTTCTCTCATTGAAAGTGAATTATAAACAATCAATTAATCGATTATATTTAAAAAAAATATATATATATAATTGGTTGTCTAAAAAAAAACAATGTAGATGAAATAGAGAAGAACTATCTCAAATCACTGAATGCTCAATGGTTAGCAATGCATGTCAAATATCAAATTGTTGTTCTGTAAACTTCAATCAAACTTCAATCTTTACGAGCTTTAACAGCATTAATTGATCGATGATATCCGATTTAATAAATACAATTTCTGAATGAAGTCAGTCACTGGAGCGCAGAGTTGAGGTAAATAGTTTCAAATTTATATAATCTCACACAAGCGCAAATACAATTACAATATTCAAATCTAAATATAAATAAATTTAAAAAAAAACAAAAAAAAAACGTTATAAAATAGAGTAATTGAATATATTTTAGTTTGAATTTCATTTTTACTCAGACGTTTATATAATCTAAGAGGCGGCAAAACCTTGGGACCCTGGCGCAGATGCGTTAACCCATAGTAAACAATATCCGGCCACATAAAGCGGCCCAACGGTGAATTATTGGAAAATAAAGATTGTATCCCTTTTCACCGATCATCTTTGTAATCAAACTAATCAACGATTCGTAAATATGTGATCACCATCCGAATCTGGTTATCTATATTTTCATTTTCAAAACTGGCGATAAATATTGTTTGATTCATGGTTGAGTTAGTGAAGAATCTGGAACCCGATTTCAATTTTTGCAAGAAATAAAATTTATAGCGTTTAAATTCAAAACGAATCCGAATTTGGAATCACTTCAATCAGATACACCAATTAACACCTACGGGCAAGCTTTAAGAAAGTCGCGTTCTCGGCCTGATACGTCAACCAAATGGAAACTTTAAAGCGTCAGTGCACCGTTTGCATTTTTCGGCAGCTTAAATATTTGTTATTCAATAAGAATCATGTGACAAATATTTAGATAAATTGTGATCACATTTTAGGTCGTTTCACCAAGGTCAATTTTGGATGTTTTGCTTGAGGAAGCCGAGTGTTGCGAAAATTAAATTCATCATATATTGAACCATTTTAGGACTGATTTTCAAGCCCCCTCCCCACCCCGAGACTTAATAATACTAATTAAATATTTACTTTCTGGACATGACAATTGTAATAGCCTACTTGTATTAAACAGGATGACTTCAGCTTATCCAAAATACAATTGCTCGCAATGCGGATAGATCAACCTACCCCATGCTCATTTAATGAGCAACGTCCAGTCGTTCGGATAGTACGTAAAAACCGAGGTCCTATGTACACGTTGGCGTATACGTAAAAGGATCCTCGACAGTTTGAATTCGATATAAGAGTAGACTTCATAACGCCACTGTCCGGCAAATCTTCCCTCATAGCAAACTACTATTTTCTCGGTTGGTGCAGAACAGTAGGAAGTTAAACCCCAATTCATTTCATTTCATGTTTAGGCAACGGTAAATCTAGAAGGTTCGAGCGAGGCATCACTTATCTAGTACCTCACAAGAGGGGCTAGACTCTTTTAATGCTGATAAATTCACCGACAGTCTTAAACCTGTGTTGCAACTATCGTAGTCGTTGGTCTTTTTATAGATTTGCAATCATGACCAACCAGATCAAACCAAAAAGAATTCCTTAGAAAATAATTCGTAACGTGTTACAGACAATTTTACAGTCATGTTTACATAAGAAGTATAACATTTTACCTAATATCATGATTGGGGTATATAGAACTTGTCCTGCATTCGGATAATCCACCAACTTCTCCGTCTGGCATGTACATGGAATCCAACTGTCTCCTTAAAACACGGGTAATAGATTGCCTAGATTTACCCAATCCCTGGGATGTTTCGTTAGCTTTTCGTGATCATATCCATTTCTTTGTATACACGACCATATCACAGATTGAATTTCCTTGCTCCTCAAATCAATAACACCCATCAAATCAAGAAAGTTTCTGGCAAATGAATTTAATCTAGTTGTGATGTTTTTGGTGCACTAGCGGGATGACCTTTTAAGTAAAGGTCTCGACGAAACATGTTATTGGTAGACTTTATCCAATATGTAGACTTGTTTTAGAATAAAATCAATTCTAGTAGGCTGATTAAAGATTTTATCGCGTAACAATGAAGTAAGAATACTAGAAACAGGTTAAGATGGCGTCCATGAATGGTTGGTATTTTTTACACTTGGCCAGCGCACTAACAATTACATGTCCACAATCCAGTCAAAGAATTTTTAAATCTTTAAAGCTACAAACTCATCCGAAGTTACTATCATTAATTCCACAGGGCACGTTAGTTTGTTAAAGATACCAGAGATAAATACCCCAATTGGTACTGCTCTATTTTTATTTTTATTGTATTTTTTTTTAAACTGAATTCTAAGATATGGGATTAACCTTCCGGTATATATAATGGAGAGAGAGAGAAATGGGGTTTAACGTCCACTCGACACAAACTAGGTCATTTCGGGACTAACATATGGTTTAATTTGTTTCCAATAATTCACTTGCGCGTAGGGGTCTTTAGCAGTGGGAGGAAACCGGAATATATAATGGAAGAGTTTAAAAACATCCACGAAATTCCCGCCAAAAATTGCTTCCCCTGTGCTAGCTTTTCGAATCCAAAAAATAGTGCTCCTGTAAACTGAAAATAGTGATGTGTGTCGTACATATATATACACAAACAAGCTTCTATTTTGAAAAAAAAATAGGTGATAGTTACATTGTTTAAAATACATGTGACCATTTTTTTTTCTCCATCGTATGAGTAATCACATTCGGTTTTTGGTGCAATGTTTAGAATACGTGTGACAAGGTTTTACTGTGTATGATAATGTGTAATAATATTACGTAAAATACTTGTGACAAGTTTTAACAGTGTATGTGTAATAACAAATGGTGATGGTTACCTTATTTAGAATACCTGTGTCAAGTTTTAACAGCGTAATAACAATCAATACATAATATATCTACTGCTGTTGATAAAAAACCTGACATTTATAAATATTTAATTGTTTATAGAAAGATAAACTAATGAATGTATGTCTATAAATAGAAGTGACGCATTTAAATAATAGAAAAGGAAGTGTTGGTGTACCAGCTTGTAGGGTCGGATTACGACCAATGCAGGCCCTATATAAGCATTTAACAGATTTTGTTGCTCCGATATTATAAGCGTATATATAATTTCAAATATAAACAATAATAAACCATGAAATAAATTTGTATTTGCATTTACATATTTGTATTTGTCACCTAACAAAGCAGGTGGTGTCCCCGCCCCTACGATACTCTAAGCACGTGCTTATTCTGCTTAAAGGACAATATTGGTGCCAGTCATTATCACATATGTGATAGAACTGGTTAAACACGTTCCAAATATTATTTTATCACAGTGATCATTGTTACAATAGATACGTGATCAATGTTTTAACAATCGGAAGTGACGAACGCAAAAGGAAAACACGAGATACCCCTCTATATGGCCACAGATCACTAAAGATTTCCCCATTGACTCCAATGTTAATTCTCGTATCTTATACCGACTCTAACTTTTTCCCAAATTTTCGTTGGGTAAAACGCTTTCTACCACAGATGGAGCAACATGTGGCAACCTCTTGCCCAAAAGGACGTATGAGGTTCTTCATGAAAAACTTGAGATACACAAGCTGGAAGTAGAGACAGGTAACCATGCAATTTGTATTTTCAAATCCTTTTCTTCGATTCTACACCAAAAAAGTCAACAAAAAACGCCATGCAAAAGGCGGGAAAGGGAAAAGGGAGAGGAATACTAAAAACAGCTTTGGGTGACGGCGTAGGAATATTTGGTGATCTGTGTCCTATATAACTGACTGAAGTGACGCGTGATAACAGATACATGGGCGAATTTCTGCTCACTAATAATTCCTTCGAAGACCAAAAGTTGTTGTGTGAGACTGTGAAAGGATATCTGACAATTCATAAAAAAAATTGACTGTCACTAGATAAGAGAACATGAAAGAAAAATAGAAAAAGTCTGTGCATTACCATGTTTTTATAAGTATAGAATGAATAAACACACGTGAATGTACGGACTATTTCTATTTTTCTCGTGTTCTCTTATCTAATGACATTCAATTCAATGGAAAACTCGCATTATGATAATGGATCAAGCCCATAAACAATTCTTGCATTCTCCCTGTTGAAACTATATTTTTAGTTTTGGGACGTTACATGGATATTGTGCCAATTTACATTAAAGAGACAACGTGTTAGCAGGGTGTTTTTCTGGCTTCAAATGTTATATAAATTATGCCCATAATCAACTCCCTAGGCTATTGGATGGCTTAGAGTTTGAGTGAAGAACTATAACCTTTTGTTATAAAGGAAAACGGGGTACATACACAAGGTACTGCTTCAGATATCCGCTTATAAACCTGTAACGGTATATCTCTTTGATCTTTTGGGTATATTCTATGCCCGAAATAACTTGAGGTCTGAAAGTCGAGGGCGGCTTTGAATATATACAGGGGAATTTGGGGTTATTCTTCTGAAAGTTTTTCTTTAAACCTGTAACAGGTTATTCTTCCAGGGTAGGGTTTTTTTTCTCCATAAGAAAACATGGTCTAAGGTTTTTCTTATGGGAATTCTGGGATATTCTCATTTCGCGTACATGTAAACATAGACGGTTTATAAGCAAGATATAATCCTCGACTTCGGTTATGCTGGGGAAGAAAATCTTCAGAAAAAACCCTCGACAGAAAAACCTCGGCCTACCGGCCTCGGTTTTTCTTTATCTCGGGTTATTTTCTTTAGTCTTTCTTTCCCCAGCATAACCTCAGTCGCATGCTTTATCCTACACATATTGACTAGATACTGGATTCTGTCCACCACTAATGTCACCCGTAGTGCGCACGATGCAAAAAAGAGTTTGGAATACATATTCGGAAACCGCTCTGAAAAAAGAATTCATCAGAGGCTCGATTTACTTCAGTAAACCACTAATGAATTTCAACAAATCAAAGTTACAAATGTTTACTGATTGACCTGGTTGTAGCGGTTTTAAATATTTTTTCTTTTGTCGAAACACTTCGGACTGCTCGCTTTTTTTAAAAAAGATATCTATTATAGAATTCTATTGTGAATGTTTTAACCAGGTCTATCATATATGTACGGTCAATCAGATGAAAAAAAATACGGAGAAGCTCATGAGAAATTTATCTCAAGGTCACCATACACTAACTTATCGAATAGCTAGGCCAACACCGTACTTTATTTTATGTTACCGAATCGGCATGTCATGTGTCCCATTAATATCATTCGTTATTTTCATGCCTCCAAATGAATAGAAATGAAATGGGGTTTCACTTCCTACTGTTCTACCCCGACTGGGCTAATGAAGACGGGCATCCGCCATAATGTGCTATGAGGGAAATATTGCACTACGGCCTACTCTTATATCGAATTCCAACTGCCATGGGATCTTTTACGTGCACGTCAATGTTTATACAAATCCCATGCGAACGACTAAGCAGCTGCCTTTGCCAGGCCCTCCGTCCTGCACCACTAACAAGGGGAAACCACACCGGAAAATCCCAATAAAATTCCTTGGCCAACACCGGGAGCGAACCCGCGACCCCCAGGCTAGCGAGCCAGCGTCTTACTCACTTAGCCACCGTGGCTCCATCATGCCCTCATTAAAAGCATAAGGTTCATACTCTCATTAACTTCATAATCCCACCAACTTCATACACGGATTGGTATCATTTTTTAATATCATGATTCATTTCATGCTCTCTTTAAAGCTACATAACGCTAATTATATATGTAAAGGGAATATGCTGAAAATTTCAGTTAAATTAATTCACTCTGAGCCGAGAAAACAACATTTTAAACAATGTCTCCATTATCCATTTTTACCGTTAATCATCAACGGCCATTGAGCTGCAGATATGATTCAAATCTGTTAATAATCAGAGGACTCTGATGGCATCGTGAGTTGATTATTGTCTTGTCATGTTAATAAATGTCTAATTAATAGTTTATATAAATTTAAGGCCTAACGAAGGTCTGCAATAGGCAGATTTAGCCCTTGCATAATGTATATTTAATAAATTTTTATCTCATTTTTGTCCGTTTTAATTTTACACAGTTATATAACTTTTGGTCGTTTTGGATTAACGCCGCTTCGTCTATATCCCTTTTAAACAAGCCGTTGCCATCTTTGATGAGCCTCTAGTTAATTTCATTGAATCCGAGCCTGCAAATTATCTATCGTTGTAATAACAAAATTTTCTGAAAAATGTAAATGGTGTGTTTTTTTGTTTTTTTAAATCAATGAATCATTAATAAATGATATTAATAAGAGTATGAAGTTGGTGGGACTATGAAGTTAATGAGAGTATGAACCTAATGAATGGTTTTTTTTAATGAGGGCATGAAATAACGAATGATATTAATGGGAGCATGATGACCCGAATGTGCCGATCCCGTAACATAGAAAAGTACTTCGTTGGCATAGCTATCCAATAAATCAATGTAGGACGACCTTGAAATAAACTAGTTAGAACACTTTTTTTTCATGTGATTATCCTAATGGGCTTCTCCGTACCTTATAATTATAGCTAAAAGTGAAAAGTGACATTTTTATAAGGGAGGTAACTATTATTATGGTCGGCTACTGATCACCATTTGGCAACAGCTTACTAACGTTTTCCCAATTGACTTTAATGTTAATTTTCGTCTCTTAGACTGGCTCTAACTTTTTCTAAAATTTTCGATGGAAAGAACGCTTTCTACCACAGATGGAGCAACATGTTGCAACCTTTTGCTCAAAAGTACGTACAAGGTTCGCCATGGAAATAAACTTGCAATTTTCCGTCCTA